CTGAACAAGTCAATATGAGGCGTCTGTGGTTCCTCGCGCCTCGTGTGCCTTGCTTTACAACTTCAAGACCCACGTGTTCAAAGCCACAGCAGCACCGCAGCTGTGGGTACACATGGTACTGTAAGGCAGAGCCAGCTATGAACAAAAATTACGCTTCTCGTCGGTGCTCACGACACTGCATGTCGTGGAATCCAGATGCTGATAAGAAATTCTAGTAGAGGAGAGCACAAGTGACACTGCTGATCAGACACTGAATGTCGAAAGCAGAGTATCGCTCGTGTTGCACCAATGCTGTTGAAATGATGCACTCCCAGAAGGCTGTGGTTACTCATGGGATGTGTAAACAAAACAAAATTACGTGGAGGAACAGCACTCGGAAGCAGGAGGAGGATCGTTTTGTTCCTTGAATTCTCCACGGCGCCGCTGAATGCCAACTCTGTGTGGGTGACATGACTGCAGCACCGCCAACTGATGTTCGTGTGATGGTCGCTCCAGAGGCTCGCCACCGCAGAGGGAGACACGACCTCTCAGGTCGACACCCCCTCGCCCAGTGGCTCGGCAGTTCAGGGGGAACTGGCGATAGGAACACGCGACCACGCCGTAGCGCAAAGAGTGACGGCAGCCGTCACGCCAGAGCCTGCGACACAGGCCCCGCCATGTCCGTGCCGCGCGTTTTCAACGTTTGAATGCCGTGCAAAGCGCCCTCAGCCGGGGCGGTGGCGCGCCCCCCAAACGGTCGCGCGCTCGCCGTTCATTGTCGAGGAGGTCCGCTGTGGCAGCCCGGAGGCCGCCCTGGTTGCAGGAGAACTCCTCTTTATCCTTGCTCCGGTTATCTGTGGTACCAGTTATCCGGAGGTTAGCAGAGCACAGATCATTTTTCAGTTATCCGACCACTCTTTAAATTCCAATTATCCGGATTTGCAACCGCTTAAGACCCCAAAATTGGTATTTCATTGATATTTACCAGAGAAAATACATTGAATATGTTTTGTATGAAGGAAGGGCACTATATATAAAAAAACTTGACATTTTAGGATAAATTGAGAAACTTTGTAAGCTTCCGGATTTGTTATCTCGATTTGCCTCCGATCCTGGCCTATTGCGTCCCCACGTGACATCAAACCAAATGGGCTTGAAACTAAACTCGGCAGCCCCCCCCACCCCGCATTGGCGCCATCGCCTTTGTGACAAACACCGTCGTCGTGTTGGCCACCGTCGTGACGGGCGGCCCGGAACCTACCGGGGTGCGGAGGTTCCGGGCAGATTGGCAATAACTTGCCGGACGGCCTGCAGGTGCGCCGCCGATAAGCGTTTCTGGTAAACCGGAGCACAGATGACATTCCGCTACTGGCTAAAACCTCAAACCTGTGGAAAAAAAATTACGCACGCCCCTGGGATCACGCAATGCTTCGGAATTTTATTGTCGGGCTGAAGAAGCCAACAGCGAGAACACCTCGGGAGAGAGATTGAGACGCTCTGGGAGGGGGCGTGTTGCAGCCGGGGGTGCTGATGAGATGACAACACAGGAACCGCACCTACGGTTAGCACGGTTGGCTATGTATGGTGCAAAAGAAGTTCAACGTAACAACACATTTATATTTACGTGATCTAACCCAAAAAAACCTTATATTATGGAACGCAACAGCAGTTGTCCTGTCGATATACTCACCCCGCCATAGGAACGTGGAATTTCCACCACTGGCTCTACAGATCTGTAAACAGGAGATAAACACCGGTCTGTCAGTGCTCACCTGAGCAGGGAATCACTTTGAGGAGCCCATCGAGGACTGAAAGTCGCTTTTTTGAAGTGAAACCTGAGTAGAATTAAATACACAAACACAGCGACAGAGCGTGTTGACGGCACGAGGCTTCACATTTCCCAGCGGCTCTGGTGAACGCGGATTCCCAGCGCTGAGTGGAGGTGACTCGTGGAAGAAACAAGAAGCCAATTCTGTCGCTCTCCAGCGTATGGCTGAAAACGCCGCGTCCCTCCCTCCGTAGCACACGGTCACCGTGGATCTCGTGAAGTTGATATGAGTATAGAATCGTGGTGCCAGGGTATAAAGTATAAACTATTAAAAAATATATATTTCATTTTACCAGCTAAGACATATAGCTCTTTTTCAGAAGCGACCTGGCCACAAATGAGAGCTTAACGAAGTGGCTTATCATGTGGAATTTATAGCGGCCAATTACTCTAAATGCATGTTTCTAAATGTGGAGGGAAAACCCGGAGTACCCGGAGAAAAATCTACCAGACCACAGCGAGTGAGACGCGCAAAAATCGAAATATACTGTAGGCCTCAGGGTCGGGATCGAACACACCACCTCCTGTATACCACGCGAGGTAGCTAACATCTCGCCACCATACAACAAGTACTCGCTAAACACGTGGTGTTCACACAACGCGTTATTGCTATAATGCCGTTCTTCCATTTGGGACACTTATAACGTGTAATGCTGACAATCATCACGTGGAATTCGCACCGTTATGATGCAGAATGTGCATTACATGAAACTCGTACCGTTAGAACACGGTTTCTGAGCAGTCGACGACAAACTACTTTCTTGAGCTGCGTGGATGAGCGGAACGATACAGTAATGCGGCGGCGAACCCTCAGCCGTTAATGGAAATTACATATTCCTATGGTGGGGGCGAGTCTATCAGCCAAATCCACACGACCTAACTAGGTAAGGTCCACTGAGCTATATACCTCTTTTTTCAGAAGCGACCTGTCCATAAATGATAGTCCAATGAAGTGGCTTATTACGTGGAAATGTATAGCAGCCAAATACTCTATAAAAGCACGTTTCCAAATGTGGAGGGAAAAATGCAACCACGGGAAAAGAGATACGCAAACTCCAAATATACAGGCATCATCAGGGTTGGGATCGAACCCACGACCTCTTTACCAGGCAAGGTAATTAACATCTCGCCAACGTGGCGCCCACAGTGTGACAATATACCCTGGCAATTAAACAAAACCCAGCGTTAAATAGTTAAGCCTCTTTGGCCCAGGCAGTGACATCATAAGCTAAGCGCGCACCTCCCTGCCGATGACGCCACCGCATATGAGGTCATTATCTTGCGGTAAAGTCACGTGTGCCGCGTGACGTCTCAGAGGCACGACGAACCACAGACGAGCAGGAAGGCAGCCACGCGGTGAGCCGGCACTACCAACAGTTGCCCAAGCTCTGCCATCCTCTACAATTTAAAGAGTTATCGGCCATTTAATGAGTATGGGAGGAAACTACAGCACCTGGAGAGAACCCACGCATTTGAGGGAGAAACACTCAATTCCATAGATGGAACAGGTGGATTCCACATATTCAAAACTCAGCTGCCCGGGTTTAACCAGATTTAAATCGTATGACTATATCACTCCTATTCTTTCGTCCCTGCACTGGCTCCTTGTAAAGTACAGAATCGACTTTAATATTCTGCTTCTCACGTTTATGGCCTTGGATAGGTAGGCTGGTTCCTAAATATCTCGCCAATCTTAAGTTTTATTTACCACTGCGAAAACGTAGACCTGCCGATTCTGGTCTGTTGTTCTATGGGAGACACGGAGCCTCCTGTTGTTGTTCTATGGGAGACACGGAGCCTCCTGTTGTTGTTCTATGGGAGACACGGAGCCTCCTGTTGTTGTTCTATGGGAGACATGGACGCTCCTGTTGTTGTTCTATGGGAGACACAGAGCCTCCTGTTGTTGTTCTATGGGAGACACGGAGCCTCCTGTTGTTGTTCTATGGGAGACACGGAGCCTCCTGTTGTTGTTCTATGGGAGACACGGAGCCTCCTGTTGTTGTTCTATGGGAGACACGGAGCCTCCTGTTGTTGTTCTATGGGAGACACGGGCCAGTCTATAGGTAGGGCCAGTCTATAGGTAGGGGAGTTGATCGTGGATACGATGGGTTGTAATGGGGTGCCTTCTTTATGAATATTGGGAAGACCATAGAATCTTGGGGGTCTTGCAGCAGAAGGTTTTAGGGAGGGACGTTTAGTTGGATCGATTAGGGAGGTCGAACTTGTGATGATCTTGTTGGTTTTTATCGCTAGGCTATTAGTAGAGTCATTTTTTTATTTTTGAGTAACTTCCATAGTTGAGCAGATTCTAGATTTTGTTGTTGTATGAATCTTTATCCATAATTACAGCAGCGTTGCCTTTATCGGCTGAGAGGATGACTATATCACTTCTGTTTTTTAAATTCGCGAGTTCAGAGCGTTCACTTTTGCTGATGTTACTAATGGGTTTCTTATCATTCTTAAGAATAGTGGCTATTTCAGCTCTCGCAACATTTGCTTGGATGTGTCCCACGCCTTTGAGGGCTACATCGACCTGTTGTTGTTCTATGGGAGACACGGAGCCTCCTGCAGCCAGCTCCGCGATTGTGAAATCAGCTTCCTCGGTCCATTTGGGATTGTTTCACTTTTCAAATCACCATCTTGCAACTCACCTATTTGTACAACAGGCTTTCCCCGCAACTTAAGATTTGAAAACCAATGTTGTCTGTTTGGATTACTCTGTAATTATTATTCGCTTCTATCATGGTTCTTTATTTTGTTGGAATTTCGAGAATAGTCATTGATATTGTTATTATCAGCTTTCCATTTCGCTTAAATTGTATCTATACTTGTGAGTGTAGTTTTATTTAATGTATAGCACTTTGAGATACTTGAATATGAAAGGCACTTTATAAAATAGAGGTTATTATTTGCTGTACTGCCTTCCGGCAAGCCTGGGTACGGTATATCCTTGAGGCCCACACGAAGGGAGTTTAAATCAACATTTGCACGGCGATCCACCAACCCTCGCTGCCTCCACGGTGCTGGATTAAGGCAGCCACGTGCGCAGCCACCAATGCCCGGCTGATGATGAATTGACGATCAAATTCCAGGGCGCCCACCATCGAGACCGCCGCATCCTCGGCGTGTCCTCGGTGCGCATGTCCCCCTCTCCCTGCGTGATTCCGAACCGGCTCCGTCTCTCCCTCTCCAGGTGGTTCTTCGGGAAGATCAGCCGGGCGGACGCGGTGAAGCTGCTGCTCGCCAGGGGCAACGACCACGGCTCCTTCCTGATCCGCGAGAGCGAGAGCAAGCATGGCGCTTATGCACTCTCTGGTACGCGCGGGGGTGAAGCCGTGCAGGGCTTAGGGTTTCGGTGTCCATAGCAAGGCGGTGAGACCCTGGGTAATCTGTTTATTCTTAAGTAAGAATTATAATTATGATAGTCCTTGCATTTATGTGGCATTTAAATGCCTCGCCATCTAAAACATCTCATAGCTGGGCCGTGGTGGCTCTGCACGTGGCCTGGAATCCAGCGCTATGGAGACAGCGAGGGTTGACGGATCACCGCACAAAAGTGTTGTCGTTAAAGTCCCTTCCCGTGGGCGTCGAGGCTGGCTGGAGGAAGGTGGTACGGCAAATTGTAGACTCCGCCGGTTCTGTCTGTATGTCATAGAGTGTTTCCCCTCGCACGCGAGTTATCTTTTGGTCCTTGGGGTTTCTCCCACGTGTATGAACATTAATTTGCTGAAAACGCCTTGACAAATAGAGAACCACCAAAGCTCGGGCAATTGTTGGTAGCACTGACTCACCATCGAGCTGCCTTCCTGCTCTTATGGTTTCGTTCCATTTAACCGAGAGTGTCCTTGGCGAACGCGTTTGGGTGTTTGTTGATTGTGGCTGTTCACCACTGTCAATGCTGCAGCAGCAGCATTGCCTAATACTTTTGTAGTGGGCTCAAATGGAGAGTCGGTCGTATTCTTGGAGGCAACACATTTATTAATAGCAACACACCAACACAAAGGGTAACTGCCCCTTCACCAGACAACAGCCTATGGTGGTGGTCCACCAGGCTAACTCCACACACACTATAGTGGTGGTCCACCAGGCCAACTACACTAACTGCACTGGGAGTAGTTACAATGGACGGGACCCCAGCTTGGGTCCCAGTCCCCGTGTTGGTGACTTGTCTTCGGACGTAGGGTGTAGAACGTAGAACATCTTGAGGATAACAACAGCAGCCGGTGCCGCTCAGGGCTCCGGCTTATAACCTGTGTGGCGGGGCTCGCTCCGTCCCTAGCCACGCCCACCTTCTCGAACCCTCGAGGAGGATCTCCAACTGGACACGTGATCCCCCCAGCCCCTCTTTGGGGGTCCCCGGGAAGATACCTCCGGTCACGTGTTCCCCGGGTTCAACCAGAGTGCCCTGGCCCCCTTGTAACCCTGTACCGTGCCAGCACTCTCGCCCTCTATCCTGTAAGGGCTGGCACCGCATGCAGAGCGTGGTGCCATCCATCACTATCCATCAGTGCTCACCAAGCCCCGCTAGGGCCGGCACTGCATCCACCCGCGGTGATGTCAATACATCGCGCGCCGTGCCTCTCCCAGGCCAGCTTCACACAGTGACATACACAATGACATCCAACCATGTCACTACAGATAATTGTTTTTTTACCCTTTTATCTGGCAACAAAACTTACACCTTTTTTACGAGGAGTCATGTTTGCATTGACCACAATACCTGCGGTCGGAATGCAAACAAAAAACATAACTCTGATAATGTGTGTTGAAATTGATTGGTCCACACCCGAGACAGCTTTCCTTAGAGCCTAGTCTCACATGGTGTTGGACCAGATGACGCCAATAGGCGCACAACTCAAAGACAATGCACCATCAGAGTATGAGAGCTCGGGGTAAGCATTAAAAAAGGTGTCAGTTTTGTTGCCAGATAAAAGGGTAAAAAACCAATGATCATATTTTGCTACTGGCAAAGGAGGTTCCAATGGTGATGTCATTACACTTTGTTTAAAGTTGTTATAAAAGCTTGAGGGGAGGGGGTGGTGGGGAAAGAGACGATCATGATAAAGGGAGGGGATTCCAAAGTGGAGCAGTGCAACATAAGAAGCAGAAAGATAAATGTTGTGACCGGCAGTGTGGTGGGTGAGTGGGTGGTTTTGTGGGTGAGTGGATGGGTGAGTGCGTGGGTGGTTTGTTGGGTGAGTGCGTGGGTGGTTTTGTGGGTGAGTGAGTGGGTGGGTGAGTGAGTGGGTGGTTTGGTGGGTGGGTGAGTTGATGATTGTGTTGGGCGAATGAGTGGGTGGTTTGGTGGGTGGGTGGTTTTGTGGGTGGGCTGATGGGTGAGTGAGTGGGTGCTTTGGTGAGTGGTTTCGTGAGTGAGTGGGTGGTTTGGTTGGTGAGTGAGTTGGTGGCTTCGTGGGTGAGCGAGTGGATGGTTTGGTGGGTAAGTGGGTGGTTTGGTGGGTGAGTGATTGGTTTGGTGGGTGAGTCAGTGCGTGGTTTGGTGGGTGAGAGAGCGAGCGGATGATTTGGTGGGTGAGTGATTTGGAGGGTGAGTGGATGGTTTAGTGGGTAAATAGGTGGTTTGGTGGGTAAGTGAGCGGGTTGTTTGTTGGTAAGTGAATGGGTCAGTAGATGGGTAAGAGAGTGAGTGGGCCAGTGAGTGGTTGATCGTGTGGGTGGGTAAGACCTTTAGTGCCACACAGCGTGGATTAGAGGAAACGGCCGAGCTCTAGATGTAATGGGGCATTCTATCTTCGGCTTATTCGCTGGCTTCAGGAAACAGGTGATGCGCACAGTTTTTTCATTTTCAGTTTGCTTGCTGCCTCTATATAAATATAATATAAATATATTTCTTCGCGTTGAAATTTGTCGGTTCGTGGTTCAATTTTTTCACACTAACGCCGCCAGGGTTTTCCTTGTCCACCGCTTTCTGGAATGGGACATTTGTTGTAACGCATGGAAATGCCCTTCCTCACGAACCAGAATCAGTTTTAATACACGGCTTTTGCAAGAGCGAGCAGTGTGGTTTTGTTATTTACAAGCGGGCAGGCCCGGTCCCCTCCCCATTAAAGTCGGTTCATGCTGATTGTACCCCCCACCCCGCCTCCTGAGCCCCATGTCACTCACGGAGCCGCACTACACTACAACCCCGGCACAGCCCGGGGGAAAAGTAGGTCAGGCTCTCGGCTTTAATAATAATCAAAATCAATCTATTTTATTGCGTACAGCTCTGCAATAATATTTTTTTTAAAACCCATAATGATGATCTCAGCTTGTAGCGGCGCCGCCATACAGTATTCGTGCTCGCTCTTGCATAGAGAGAAAGGAACCACTCAGAGGGGCCAGGAGGAGGAACTGCAGAGGAGCGGGAGGCAGCAGCGGTGGTGAGGAGCCGGCGCTACCAACGGTTACACAAGATCTGCACTTGGCGTTAATTCATTTCGAACAAAGATTACCTTTTTTATCGGCCAATGAATTAGTGTTTACACGTGGGAGGAAACAGGAGCACTCAGAGAAAACCCATGCGTGCGAGGGGGAAACACTCTATCCCATACAGACGGAACAGGTGGAGTCCACAGTTTTGCTGTACTGCCTTCTACTGGCAATCCAGGGTATGTCACCACCTCGACGCCCACAGGAAGGGAGTTTCACAACATCGGCGTGCGGTGATCCACCAACCCTCACTGCCTCCATAGTTCTGGATTAGAGGCTACGTGCATAGGCTCCACAGTGGCTGTAAACCCTAGCTGGCATTACAAGCACGTTGAATATTATCTTTTTTTTTACATTTACTTAAACCTAAAGATGAAGAGCAGATGGTGGGAGATTGTCAGGTGAGATCTGTGGGTCTTTGTGTGAGTCCATGGGTGTTTAGGTGAGTCTATCTTCTTTCCTATATTCAAGTGGTCAAGTCTAGATAACCGCGTCAGGAGCAGCGGAGTGTATCATCGCTGTGATGTCTCCTTGGTATTTGTGAATTGAGCATTGCGTCATTATATGTTGTACGGTCTGTTCTGGATGACCACAGTCGCACACCGGAGAGTTTCTAATTCATGCATCAGGTATCAGCATCAGCCAAGTTTTGTGCAGATGCGATTTAGGGTGGACCATGAGCTTCGTGGAAGATCAATTCCAGGGATCTTCTGTTTTGGATCTTTCACAAGGTGCTTGTGAATTATTTTTAACTGTAGCTCTCCAAGCTCCATCGGGGTTGAATTTGCATTGTTTAAGGTTAAGCGCAAGGGTCCAAAAGGGCTTGCTGTGTGACTTCAAGTGATGACGAGGGACGTTGCTGAGATCCTTATGTATGGGAAGGGGCGACTGTTTTCCTCGATTCGCAAGACTTTCCTGGAGGGTTGCAGCATTGCGGCAGATTTGGTGGGGAAGAGATTCGTAACAGCACGGGCAGTCAGGTGTTGGGGTCGACTTGAGGGTTCCAGCGATGCACCGCGTTGCAGTGTTCAGTTGGACATCAGCAAGTCGAGCGTGACTACTTCTGGTCCATACTGGTGCACGGTACTCACCTATAGAGTACACGAGGGCCATCGTCGATGTCCATAGCACTGAGGGTGTTGATGCTCTCCAGCTTGTGCTTGCCCGTTTCTGGACCAGGTTGACCGCTTGTTTTGGTCTTGGCGGCTACCTTTTTCAGGTGGTCATGGAAGGTTAGCGCACGGTCCAGCTTCACTCAGAGATAGGTTGGAGTGGGGTCATGTCCTACAGTGTTGCCACAGGTCACTTTCAGAGTGTGCTTGGCGCTCCTATTACTAAGATGAAATGCAGTGACTGTCTATTGGGGATTTGGCTGGAGCCTCTATTTCCGTAAATATTTCCCCATGGTGTTTAGGTATTCGTTCAGAGCAGTTTCGATGTTGTTGAAAGTGGCTGCTTGCGTTGGCAGGGCAAGGTCATCCGCACGTACAAATGTGCGTGACCCAGTTGGCGGCATGTTGCTTGTTGAGACATTGAAGAGCGATGGCACGAGTACTGAACCTTGTAGCAATCCATTGTTGCCTATTGCTCAGCATCGTCCATATCAGGCGTATTGTTTTGAAGCAGGCAATGGTCCTTGCGAGCTTCAACATCAAACCTTTAATCTTGATTTTAAGCTTTCGTGACTGCCGGAATCCATACTCTTTGGTTCTTTCGGTAAAGTCACGTAGTTTATTTTATTTTTCTACCCACGTGACTTTACCGAAAGAGTGTCATAGGCCGATGACAAGTCCACAAAGGCTGCGCTGCTCTTCGATTTCTTCTGGAATCCGGCCTCGATGCACATCGCAAGGCCCAAAACTTGGTCACAGCAGCTGCGTCCA